GAATATACAGATATATTAAAAGTGTAGACAGGATGATGTGGCCATCATGCACATGCATGCACATGCGCGCGCGTGCAATGTGTTTAATGACCAATATACTTAATATAGCCGTAACTTTTATATTTTTTGATGAAAAGCTTTGATACTAAGAATAAACAGACATATTATAAGTGTAGACAAAATGGCATGGACATTATGAACATGCATACAGGTGCGCGTGCGCGCAATGCTAAGATGACCAATATACTTGATATAGCCGGAACTTATATATTTTTTGATGAAATGTTTTGATACTGAGAATATAAAGATGCATTTATAGTATAGACGGAATGACATGGTCAACCTGCACATGCATGCACGTGCGCGCGCGTGAAATGCGTTAAATGACCAATATACTTAATTGCCTTATTTAATGAAGCTTACAGGAAATAAGACACCAAAAGGGAGTTGGGGAGCGTTTGGGGAACATCTGTAACGGTCCCCGTTACAATTAATACTAGTTAACTTAGATTTTTAATTCAGGGGTTTTCATTTGAGTCAATAATCAGATAATTGGTTAATTACCGCGGTTTATCTGCAGCAAAAACACAAAATTTATAAACTGTGGTCATAAGGAACGTTTTACGCTTTTAATTTCAAATAATTAAGAAACATGCGATAAGTCCTTTAAGTGTTTGTCAAACGTACATGTACGAGGGGTTATCAAATAGTTCGTGGACTAGCACCATAAAATTAAAACCGCTTAAGGTACATCAATGAATTTTTATACATTTAGTTAGCATAATCTTTTCTGTCTATAGCATAAACCTTAAATCAAAAGTTTTGTTTTTTAATAAATTGTTGATGTTTTTGTAAGCAATGGTATGTCCAGGCGGCGCAACCTCGAACATAACGGGTTTTTTTTTTCTATCGGAGTGTAACTGCGAAAAATTCTTTAAATATAAATATTTGTAATCCATAAAATCCTCTGAATTCAGACATGTGGTATGACATGATTGTTCCGTAAAATTGCAATTCTTACCTCATTCTGTAAGTTCTATTAAATTTTATCGTAAATTTCACATGGAGTGTCCAAACAATTAAGGGCTTGAAAATAACGTCAAAGAGGGATAGGGGTTTCTTTTTTCAACATTCTATAAGGTTTCACCGCTGGAAAAACTGGTATAGCTTAGGAAATGTTTAAACGGACTACAGAGAAATAAAATCAATCCAGAGTACTTGTTTTTAAACGCCGAAAAAGATTCAGAGAGAAGAGAGATGCACAGTTCATGTCGATTTGTAGTCGGGGTGTCAAAAGTCAGTCACGTCGAAAAGTGACGCTGATCATGTATGGTAGATACTGTTCTCCGACAAGCAATATATGCTGGCATAATCAAGTGAGGATCCTCCATATGTATAGATCCATTTAAAATATTATTTGCATTTAAAGCAGCTGTTCATGACATTGTAAAGCCATATAAACAAAACGGGTAATCTCATCAAGATAAATGTATGAGGTAAATGGAGCGGACATTTAGAAATAATGACGTTATCGGACGTGATGAAACTAAACGGCGACAGCACCGGGTGACCATATAATATCTTTTTTATTTCATAATTAGGAGATGGGTGAACAAGGCGTGCAGAATGCCTATAGCTTCAGATATGTAAAATTCATATTCAATTTGTGAATGTAGTATTTAGAGTAAAGTTCTCTTTATTGCACTTTATGAAATTATGATAAACAAAACTTTTCTGAGGAAAATTTTCCTGACAAAAAATTACTATGCTATTAAAAAATAATGTTGTATTAGTGTGATTCGAACCCTAGCAATAAACATAGGTAATCAAAGATTACGAAGCTCACCTCGACGAATGTTATCTACATGTAAGGCAAATTTCACATCATATTTTTTTTCTAGTTAGGGTACATCCCAAGATCAATGGCCATGCAAGTTTGATTTAATTATAGACCTGCTCAAAAAACTTTTGACCTGTTTAGTAATCAAGAAAATTTTGGTCACTTCCAACATCCAAAGCAAGTCTGGAAGTTTTCATCCTTAGATGCACCATCTATGCAAGTTTAATCATAACAGGCCATAATATTACATAGCTACTCCAAAAAATTACCCTGGTCACTCATCTTGAAAATGTACATCAGATTCAGAATCCAAGGCAAGTCTGGAAGTGTCCATCCCTAGATACATCATCCATGCTAATTTGGTTAAAATATGGCTAAAATTCACTCATGTGGAAAATCTAGGTCAGATCCAGCATTCGAAGCAGGTTGGTTAGTGTACATCCCTAGATGCATCATCCATGAAAGTTTGGTCAAGGTAGAGCTTATAGTTACTTGGAAACGAGACTACTCCTAAATCTAAACCTGGTCTCACATGTGGAAAATCTAGGTCAGATCCAGCATCCGAAGCAAGTGTGGTAGTGTCCATCCCTGGATGCATCATCCATGCAAGTTTGGTCCAGGTAGGGCTTATAGTTACTTGGGAATGGACCTGCTCCTAAAACTTTAACCTGGTCACTCATCTGGAAAATCTAGGTCAGATCCAGCATCCGAAGCAAGTGTGGTAGTGTCCATCCCTAGATGCATCATCCATGAAAGTTTGGTCAAGGTAGGGCTTATAGTTACTTGGGAATGGACCTGCTCCTTAAACTTTAACCTGGTCACTCATCCGGAAAATCTAGTTCAGATCCAGCACCCGAAGTAAGTGTGGCCATGTCCATCCCTAGATGCATCATCCATGCAAGTTTGGTCCAGGTAGGGCTTATAGTTACTTGGGAATGGACCTGCTCCTAAAACTTTAACCTGGTCACTCATCTGGAAAATCTAGGTCAGATCCAGCATCCGAAGCAAGTGTGGTAGTGTCCATCCCTAGATGCATCATCCATGCAAGTTTGGTCAAGGTAGGGCTTATAGTTACTTGGGAATGGACCTGCTCCTTAAACTTTAACCTGGTCACTCATCCGGAAAATCTAGTTCAGATCCAGCATCCGAAGTAAGTGTGGCCATGTCCATCCCTAGATGCATCATCCATGCAAGTTTGGTCCAGGTAGGGCTTATAGTTACTTGGGAATGGACCTGCTCCTAAAACTTTAACCTGGTCACTCATCTGGAAAATCTAGGTCAGATCCAGCATCCGAAGCAAGTGTGGTAGTGTCCATCCCTAGATGCATCATTCATGCAAGTTTGGTCCAGGTAGGGCTTATAGATACTTGGGAATGGACCTGCTCCTTAAACTTTAACCTGGTCACTCATCCGGAAAATCTAGGTCAGATCCAGCATCCGAAGCAAGTTTGGTAGTGTCCATCCCTAGATGCATCATCCATGCAAGTTTGGTCCAGGTAGGGCTTATAGTTACTTGGGAATGGACCTGCTCCTTAAACTTTAACCTGGTCACTCATCCGGAAAATCTAGGTCAGATCCAGCATCCGAAGCAAGTTTGGTAGTGTCCATCCCTAGATGCATCATCCATGAAAGTTTGGTCCAGGTAGGGCTTATAGTTACTTGGGAATGGACCTGCTCCTTAAACTTTAACCTGGTCACTCATCCGGAAAATCTAGGTCAGATCCAGCATCCGAAGCAAGTGTGGTAGTGTCCATCCCTAGATGCATCATCCATGCAAGTTTGGTCCAGGTAGGGCTTATAGTTACTTGGGAATGGACCTGCTCCTAAAACTTTAACCTGGTCACTCATCCGGAAAATCTAGGTCAGATCCAGCATCCGAAGCAAGTGTGGTAGTGTCCATCCATAGATGCATCATCCATGCAAGTTTGGTCCAGGTAGGGCTTATAGTTACTTGGGAATGGACCTGCTCCTAAAACTTTAACCTGGTCACTCATCTGGAAAATCTAGGTCAGATCCAGCATCCGAAGCAAGTGTGGTAGTGTCCATCCCTAGATGCATCATCCATGCAAGTTTGGTCAAGGTAGGGCTTATAGTTACTTGGGAATGGACCTGCTCCTAAAACTTTAACCTGGTCACTCATCTGGAAAATCTAGGTCAGATCCAGCATCCGAAGCAAGTGTGGTAGTGTCCATCCCTAGATGCATCATCCATGCAAGTTTGGTCCAGGTAGGGCTTATAGTTACTTGGGAATGGGACTTGCTCCTAAAACTATAACCTGGGACGCCGACGCCGGGGGTATAGCATAAGCTCATCTCGACTTCGTCGAGGTGAGCTAAAAATCCTGAGTATCATTTTCCTTTGAGACTGAGTGTAACCACTAGGCTACACAGCTCCTAGTGAATAGTGGCATTTAAATCAAGTTTGTGATATGACCCTTGACTAAATGGACTTCAAGTATTTCTCGGAAAATGCGAATGTTGTGTCAAAAAGTGTATTCTTTAAGGTATAGTGGGTCTTGGCTCCATGTTTTTGTTAACCAAAAAATGTATCTTTTTACGCAAACTTTGAAATAAACTTTCAAAAAATGGAGTGAAGACCCACTCATATCGAAAAATTGTGTTATAGTATGAGAAAATGATCCTTTTTGCCCTCTTTAGTGTGTGTATGCTATTTCATAGGCAAATAATTTCAATCTTTGTGAGATTTTTGCAAATTGTGGAGATTTTACATAAAGTATACTTTAATGTAATATGAAATATTAAAGAAAATTCTGTTATAATTGAGATTCAATTTTTCACTTTCATGTTTGTCGCACTATAGGCACTTCGCTCGCCTTGTTCGCCCATCTTCTTTGGCAAATTATCAATGTATCAAGCTAAAATTGTCAACATTTCTTAAACTTTTGTTGTTTTATATTCCTTATAAATTTTGTAAGCATAGACTTCATGGTATTAATTTTATCACATTAGTCCACAAACTTTTTGATAACCCCTCGTATATGCCAATTTTCACCAAAAGGTGTTCATCAGAATGAATAAACAGAATGTCTCAATAATTTCCGAACAGCCCTCGTATACAGTTTTTAGTTAGTTATTTTGTTATTGTTTTGTTGGCACTTATGCACGCACAGCTTGTGAACACATTGAAAGAATCTGGCACTTTATCTATTTTATTCAAAAAATGACTTATTACAACACATATTAACTGAGTATCCAACACAAGGAGTTACCTTTTTATCATTTGAATTGAAATTGTAATTAATTAAAAAACTATAATTTTAATTCTACAAATTTAACAATATGATGACATGCACTTCTTGTGAATACCAACCATACTGGACCAGCTTATGACCTCTGACATTGCAGATGCCTCTTAAGTCTGTTAAATAAGCACAAATTAAGTTTGAGACACTGTGCTACTTTCATTCATGTATCCTCTTGTAAGTTCTTGAAGTATTGTTAATGAGCCAACACCTTACAAGAAAAGGCAATCTGTTTCAGCAAACCCAGGTCAAATCTGAGACTTTCAAAGTCCTTGTCCTCTGTGATTTTCAGGATGTGGCCAGCAAACCTCTCAATGTACACTGACAATTTGAAGGCAGTTCTAAAGTCTTGATGGAATTGTAATACACCTACATCTTTCATTGATTTTCTTGGAGTGGATCTGTTTTCATTCTGTAAATGACTATTTATTTTCTTTGAACAAGCTTCCGTTCCATTATACTGTTTTATGGCTTTCTCACTGATCCCATTGCATATGTCACTTTTACAAGAAAGGTTCAGTTTTCTGTTCATTAGGGCCAGAATTCGATCATAGTCCATCACTTTAAGATAGGAATGAATCAATGTAGTAATCATAGCAATGTATTTAGCACACTCCTCACGGTCTGCAAAACCACGATCCTCCCCTCCAAGCACCTGTTCATACAGATAATCACTGGGTGGAGAATCTGCAGGGCAATCACTGCTGACGCTGCCTGTAAAATAATTCATTCTAATGAAACTGTTTACTTAATACAATTAAATTCATATTTTCATATTTGAAACTATGAATGTGTGAATAAGTTAAATCTCAATTCCTTCTTGTTTACATTAGCAAAGGAACAACTTAATTAGCAATTCATATTTGTCAACTTTATGCATTTTTAAGAACTTGGCCAACGATGTATTTCCATACATGCATTACCTCATGATTTAAACGGTCTTTAGTTAATACAAATGATAGACTGATATATTGCAGACAACAGGATACTGTGAAATCATTTAAATTCGTGGGGGTCAATGTTCGTGGGCAAGCAAAATTTTATTGGTTCGTGGGGATGTAATTTCGTGGGCAGCTCGTTTATTTGGTAGATCTAATTAATCAGTACGTTGACAAAATAGTTGTTCGTGGGGATGTAAATTCGTGGGTAAGGGTTACCCACGAAATCCACGAACATTGATCCCCCACGAACAATGATGATTCCACAGTAACTAATTTCTAGCATTCTAGATAATATCTGACTTACCCTGAGAAGATGACCTTGCTGAGCGATCCTCTGTGAAGGACAACAGAAGTTCTTTCATTTGACTTGTAGTTGCCAGATCTAATGGTGTCTGATTTAAAGCAGTCTTACATTCTAACATGGCTGGTCCTAAAGTTACAAACCAAACAAATTTATCAGTAAAATTAAACACAAAAGAAAAATATATATGTAGATGTAGTTGGAATAACTCCATATTGTAGGTGTGTAAGATAATTAATATCTCCATGTTGTAGGTGAGATAATGAATATCTCCATGTTGTAGGTGTGTGAGATAATGAATCTCTCCATGTTGTAGGTGTGTGAGATAATGAATCACTTGATGTTGTAGGTATGTGAGATAATTATTAACACCATGTTGTGTGTAAGATAAGGTGTGTAAGATAATTAATATCTCCATGTTGTAGGTGTGTAAGATAATGAATCTCTCCATGTTGTAGGTGTGTGAGATAATGAATCACTCCATGTTGTAGGTGTGTAAGATAATTAATATCTCCATGTTGTAGGTGTGTAAGATAATGAATCTCTCCATGTCGTAGGTGTGTGAGATAATGAATCACTCCATGTTGTAGGTGTGTAAGATAATTAATATCTCCATGTTGTAGGTGTGTAAGATAATTAATATCTCCATGTTGTAGGTGTGTGAGATAATGAATCACTCCAAGTTGTAGGTGTGTGAAATAATTAATATCTCCATGTTGCAAGTGTATGGATAATGAATCTCTCCATGTTATAGGTGTGTAAGATAATGAATCTCTCCATGTTGTAGGTGTGTAAGATAATGAATATCTCAATGTTGTAGATGTATGAGATAATGAATCACTGGATGTTGTAGGTGTGTGAGATAAAAATCACTTGATGTTGTAGGTGTGTAAGATAATTAATATCTCCATGTTGTAGGTGAGATAATGAATCACTCCAAGCTGTAGGTGTGTGAGATAATGAATCACTCCATGTTGTAAATGTGTAAGATAAATAATATCTCAATGTTGTAGGTGTGTAAAATAATTAATATCTCCATGTTGTAGGTGTGTGAGATAATTAATATCTCCATGTTGTAGGTGTGTGAGATAATGAATACCTCCAAGTTGTAGGTGTATGAGATAATGAATACCTCCAAGTTGTAGGTGTGTGAGATAATAATCACTCCATGTTGTAGGTGTGTAAGATAATTAATAACTCCAAGCTGTAGGTGTGTGAGATAATAATCACTCCATGTTGTAGGTGTGTAAGATAATTAATATCTCCATGTTGTAGGTGAGATAATTAATCATTCCAAGTTGTAGGTGTGTGAGATAATGAATATCTCCAAGTTGCAGTCTTCGCCAAATCTTTTTTTTAGTACATGCCCTTCGGGCAGGTTTAACCACTTATTATGCTAGCCTGAACAAATATTTACATGCCCAGAATCTTATCAAGTAATTTTATTCTTATTTGCCTTTTCATGCCAAGGAAATGATCCAAAATCCATTTCTATAGATCTATTGTCTCGCCATTAATATTGTTTTCAACCTGTACACTTTTTGTGTCTCCTTTGCAAAAGAGTTCTTTGGAAATCACGGTAGAATAAACTATCGTTAATATTTTATTTGGTGCTCCACTTTAGATGAAAAATCAGACTTTTCAGTACATTTAATATTATTGGTATTATTTAAGTTGATAATACGGAGGCTTAGGCCTCAGAATTTACATGCCCTTCGGGCTTGTAAGTATGCAATTTCCACATGTATGCTTCCAATTTTACCAGGTCCTGGGCTTCGGACTCCCAGGATTTTTCGAAGACTGACGTTGTGGGTGTGTGAGATAATAATCACTCCATATAGTAGGTGTGTAAGATAATAATCACTCCATGTTGTAGGTGAGATAATTAATAACTCCATGTTGCAGGTGTGTGAGATAATAAATAACTCCATGCTGTAGGTGTGTGAGATAATTTTTATCTCCATGTTGTAGGTGTTTGAGATAATTAATATCTACATGTTGTAGGTGAGATAATGAATATCTCCATGTTGTAGGTGTGTGAGATAATGAATCTCTCCATGTTGTAGATGTGCGAGATAATGAATCACTCCATGTTGTAGGTGTGTGAGATAATTAATATCTCCAGGTTGTAGGTGTGTGAGATAATTAATATCTCCATTTTCTAGGTGTGTGAGATAATGAATACCTCTAAGTTGTAGGTGTATGAGATAACTAATAACTCCATGTTGTAGGTGTATGAGATAATGAATCACTAAATGCTGTAAGTGTGTGAGATAATTAATAACTCCATGTTGTAGGTGTGTGAGATAATTAATAACTCCATGTTGTAGGTGTGTGAGATAATTAATAACTCCATGTTGTAGGTGTGTGAGATAATGATTATCTCATTGCCATATGACTCTGAGTACCCCCAACTTATGAGTATGTTAGATAATGATATCCCAATACTGTTGGAGTGCAAGATCATAAATATCTCAATGGTATAGGAGTTTACATCAATGATTACTTCTGTGTGATAGGAGATAATGATTACCTCCATGTTGTAGTAGTTTATACCAATGATTACTTCTGTGTGATAGGAGATGATGATTACCTCCATGTTGTAGGAGTTTTACATCAATGATTATTTCTATGTGATAGGAGATAATGATACCTCCATGTTGTAGGAGTTTATATCAATGATTACTTCTGTGTGATAGGAGATGATGATTACCTCCATGTTGTAGGAGTTTTACATCAATGATTACTTCTATGTGATAGGAGATAATGATTACCACCATGTTGTAGGAGTTTTACATCAATGATTACTTCTATGTGATAGGAGATAATGATTACCACCATGTTGTAGGAGTTTATACCAATGATTACTTCTATTTGATAGGAGATGATGATTACCTCCATGTTGTAGGAGTTTACATCAATGATTATTTCTATGTGATAGGAGATAATGATTACCACCATGTTGTAGGAGTTTTACGTCAATGATTACTTCTATGTGATAGGAGATAATGATTACCACCATGTTGTAGGAGTTTTACGTCAATGATTACTTCTGTGTGATAGGAGATAATGATTACCTCCATGTTGTAGGAGTTTACATCAATGATTACTTCTATGTGATAGGAGATAATGATTACCACCATGTTGAAGGAGTTTTACATCAATGATTACTTCTGTGTGATAGGAGATAATGATTACCTCCATGTTGTAGTAGTTTACACCAATCATTACATCTGTGTGATAGGAGATAATGATTACCTCCATGTTGTAGTAGTTTACACCAATGATTACTCCTATGTGATAGGAGATAATGATTACCACCATGTTGTAGGAGTTTTACATCAATGATTACTTCAATGTGATAGGAGATGATGATTACCTCCATGTTGTAGGAGTTTATACCAATGATTACTTCTATGTGATAGGAGATGATGATTACCTCCATGTTGTGTGAGATTACATCAATGATTACTTCTATGTGATAGGAGATAATGATTACCTCCTTGTTGTAGGAGTTTACATCAATGATTACTTCTATGTGATAGGAGATAATGATTACCTCCTTGTTGTAGGAGTTTACATCAATGATTACTTCTATGTGATAGGAGATGATGATTACTTCCATGTTGTAGGAGTTTACATCAATGATTACTTCTGTGTGATAGGAGATAATGATTACCTCCATGTTGTAGGAGTTTATACCAATGATTACTTCTATGTGATAGGAGATGATGATTACCTCTATGTTGTAGGAGTTTACATCAATGATTACTTCTGTGTGATAGGAGATAATGATTACCTCCATGTTGTAGGAGTTTTACATCAATGATTACTTCTGTGTGATAGGAGATAATGATTACCTCCATGTTGTAGAAGTTTACACCACTGATTACTTCTGTGTGATAGGAGATAATGATTACCTCCATGTTGTAGGAGTTTATACCAATGATTACTTCTATGTGATAGGAGATGATGATTACCTCCATGTTGTAGGAGTTTACATCAATGATTACTTCAATGTGATAGGAGATGATTACCTCCATGTTGTAGGAGTTTTACATCAATGATTACTTCTGTGTGATAGGAGATAATGATTACCTCCATGTTGTAGGAGTTTATACCAATGCTTACTTCTGTGTGATAGGAGATAATGATTACCTCCATGTTGTAGGAGTTTATACCAATGATTACTTCTATGTGATAGGAGATAATGATTACCTCCATGTTGTAGGAGTTTACATCAATGATTACTTCTGTGTGATAGGAGATAATGATTACCACCATGTTGTAGGAGTTTATACCAATGATTACTTCTGTGTGATAGGAGATAATGATTACCACCTTGTTGTAGGAGTTTTACGTCAATGATTACTTCTGTGTGATAGGAGATAATGATTACCTCCATGTTGTAGGAGTTTTACATCAATGATTACTTCTGTGTGATAGGAGATGATGATTACCTCCATGTTGTAGGAGTTTATATCAATGATTACTTCTGTGTGATAGGAGATAATGATTACCTCCATGTTGTAGGAGTTTACACCAATGATCACTCCTATGTGATAGGAGATAATGATTACCTCCATGTTGTAGGAGTTTACATCAATGATTACTCCTGTGTGATAGGAGATAATGATTACCTCCATGTTGTAGGAGTTTTTATTATATACCCAAGTGTGTATCACTCAATTCTGCTGTAGATTTCGTACAATTATGTGACGGTGTGATCTGACTTTCTGGATCACCACACTGTGGTTTTTTGAATCCATATCACCCCTCTCTGAAATTGATGACGTAGTACACAGAAACATGACGTTATTTTTCATGTGCATCAAAAAGTTCCTTGACAAAATGCTTTGTTTAATGGAAAAATCTTATATAATTAATCTAAAAAGTTTTTTTAAACTATATTTTGCTAGTTGTAAAGGGGGTATATAATAAATTTATCATTATAACAGTAACTTGATCCGAAGAGCCGTATCACATCTCGTTGACAGGCGCGGATCATCAGATCAAACTCGACGCTTCGCGTCTCGTTTGATCTGATGATCCGCGCCTGTCAACTCGACGTGATACGACTCTTCGGATCAAGTTACTGTTATAATAATGTATATATACCAATGATTACTTCTATGTGATAGGAGATAATGATACCTCCATGTTGTAGGAGTTTACATCAATGATTACTTCTATGTGATAGGAGATGATGATTACCTCCATGTTGTAGGAGTAGTTTACACACGTCCAGTCTGTTGTTCATCACTGCGTCGTGTAGTGGAGTGATAAGATCATCTGTCACTGCCAACAGATTGACCTTCTTGCACTTTTTATCACCTCCTGTAGAAAACAGGCTACCAATTAAGCACTGTAGCATCTCCTATTTGACATTTAATTGCTTATATATTGTATAAGTGGTCACTTGATATACAAATACCCCTTCACCAATGTAAGAAATTCAGTTGGAGTTAATGGAATGATTCTTTCATTAAAGGACTTGCAATATAAACTGACCATAATATATTTATTCTAATACTACTACATGTATTTCTTCTGAATAATTAACATCCATAATTATAGAATGGTTTTTATCCTCTTTCCAAATTTCAAATGTACTGAATATTACGTTTGAAAATTTGGGTGTATGTAAAGTTTGAAACAAAATCAAAAACGGAACAAAACTGAACAAATTGAGACCAAGGAAACTGAAACAAAGTTTACCGACACATGAAAGCTAGCAAATTAAAAACAAACAATTAAAAAAAAAATTAATGACAATTTACCTGGACTGAAGAAATGGTCCATAGTTTTGGCAGGAACAAAATTAAGCAACTCTTTTACAATTTCTACATGTCCAAAATTACAAGCTTCATGTAATGGGCTCCATCCTGCATTATCGCTGGTATTAATATCCACACCTAAATAAATAGTTTGAAATTTATAACACTTGAATAGTGAAATGAAAGTTTAATCATCAAGAATTATTCGAAAAAAGGCAGACATTTTTCAACTCAATATAATGGTACATGCAATTTCCTGATCTTGTTTTTTTTTTTTTTTTGAGGGAAAAAGTTGCCAGACTCAAAAGTTTCAATAACAGTGACACGTGTATCACTGCTAGTGTGCTGGGTGAGATCCCCAAATCCTTCTTTCATTATACACGATATATTTATATTTATTATACATCCATATAAAGTGATGGAGGTGTCCGTCCATCTATCTGTCCGTTACCCTTTGGGGTACGAAATTTAATGAGATTTTCACAGAATCTTTTTTACATAGTGCCATTGTGCACCTCCTATTCTGTGGTATAGAAGGAGTTGTGGATAAGAGATGGGCACCCCTCAATATTTTTAAAGAAAGAATGGCAGTGTCCATTTTTTGCTATGAGAAACTGGAAATATGTGTCTGATCAAGAAGTAAAATTGGAGGTGCACAATGGCACTATGTAACAAAAATTCTGTGAAAGTCTCATTAAATTTCATTCAGTGGTATATGGGTACCCCAAAGCATAACGGTCAGACGGATGGACGTACAGAAGGCAGGACAGACACTCCCATCCCATCGCTTGAAAAGGATATTTCAAAATGAGCAATTTCAATGTGCGGAGTAGGCTGTACTTAGAATATTAATTTCTCATTTCAAGTTATCTAGTTTATACAACTTCATACAGAGGACAACAAACTTACATACCTGGTACCTTCAGAAGCTGCCTGACCTTTTTAAGATCATTTTTAATACATGCCACCTGTAGAGGGGTTTCTCCTGTAAGTAAGATATGACATCAAATGAACAGCTATACCAGCCAGGCCTCAAGACCATAAACTGAGAACACACTTAAGTCAGAATTTCAAATGAATAGAACTTTTGAAATAATTTTAATAATCAAAAAGAATTCACACCATATGTTTATTTTTGAATATTTTCCCAAATATGGATATTTTAAAAACAGGTACCGGGTATTCACAATAAAACTCAAGATATTAAAAATCAAATTTTTGATTGAAGTTTATTCTCAGTTTATGGTCTTGGGGCCTGAAATACTTCTAACAGCACATCTTGTAAAGATTTCTTGCACATTTCTTAATTTAAACTTAGAATATGAATTAATCTAAATTATGTTTACAACTACATGTAATTCCATAGACTGAATGACTATAAGATGACTTTGTCTTATTTTCTGTGTCCTTGACCTTTGACATTCTTCTTGTTGACATTTTTTCCAGCTGACATGCTACTGACTTTGTCATCCAATCTCTCGTTCTCCTTGTCTCTTCCCTTCAGTAATGACCTCCTTGTTCTAGTATTAGCCTCCTGCTGTAATCTATTAAACAATTCCCTTTTTTCAATGTAGTTTCTTTTTCAGTATATCAAAGCAAATCTTAACATGAAGGCCTGGTTAAATATTAACCAGTAAAAGTGGAAAAAAAATTGTTTTTACAGTGTACAAACAGTTCACATGTGTGCCTGACTACTATTGTTTGTTCAAAAACATATACTTGACCAGGAAAATAAATTAAACACAAGATTATGACATACTACAGGTGGTGGTTCAACTTTTTTTGTCTTGTTCAATTCATACTTCTAAGGTCTAAAGTTCTTTCACATGCACACACATAAAAAACATAGGTAATCAAAGATTATGAAGCTCACCTCGACAAAGGTTATCTATAAGTAAGGCAAATCTCACATCATATTTTTTCTAGTTAGTGTTCATCCCAAGATCAATATCTATACAAGTTTGGTTTAAGAAGGACTTATAGTTACTTGGAAATAGACCTGCTCAAAAACTTTAACCTGTTTACTAATCAAGAAAATTTTGGTCTGGAAGCTTTCATCCTTAGATGCACCATCCATGCAAGTTTAATCATAACATGCCATAATATTATATAGCTACTCCTAAACATTACCCTGCTCACTCATCTGGAAAATCTAGGTCAGATTTAGAATCCAAAACAAGTCTGAAAGTGTCCATTCTAAGATACATCATTCATGCTAATTTGATTAAAATATGGCTAAAATTTACTCATCTGGAAAATCTAGGTCAGATTCAGCATCTGAAGCAAGTGTGGTAGTGTCCATCCCTAGATGCATCATCCATGCAAGTTTGGTCCAGGTAGGGCTTAAAGTTATTTGGGAATGGACCTGCTCCAAAAACTTTAACCTGGTCACTCATCTGGAAAATCTAGGTCAGATTCAGCATCCGAAGCAAGTGTGGTAGTGTCCATCCCTAGATGCATCATCCATGCAAGTTTGGTCCAGGTAGGGCTTAAAGTTACTTGGGAATGGACCTGCTCCAAAAACTTTAACCTGGTCACTCATCTGGAAAATCTAGGTCAGATTCAGCATCTGAAGCAAGTGTGGTAGTGTCCATCCCTAGAAGCATCATCCATGCAAGTTTGGTCCAGGTAGGGCTTATAGTTACTTTGGAATGGGAATTGCTCCTAAAACTTTAACCGGGACGCCGACGCTAACGCCGGGGGTATTGCATAAGCTCATCTCGACTTCATCGAGGTGAGTTAAAAATTGCAAATATTCATTATTGCAGGTACATTTAAATATTAAACAAACCTGGATGCACTCCTCTTTTGATGTGAACTCTGCATTAGATTACTTTGATTACTGTTAAGTTTAGGTAACAAAAAGAAGTACTTTGTAACCTAAAATTTAGAAAACAAAACATTTATATAACATGAATTATAAACTTTCACTTTATTTACGAATATTACATAAACAATATCACGACTACAGCTTACAATTTCTTTCAGGCTTATGCCCTCTGCTGGAAGATCTTGAAGCAGAAGATAATCATCTAGATTTCTGAGAAGCAAACAGCAGAAATGGACTGCAATCCAAGAAGGACTCAAGTTTCTCAGAATTGTTCTTAATAGGTCTATCCTGAGAGTACCTATATGTTAGATTAGAATTATACTTTTTAAAATTACCAATAAAAGCATATATAGTCAAGTTATTAATCTGGATGCAAATCAGGCAAATCGTTCAAATGGATGAAGCAACCTGGCCACAGAAACTTGCCTTATAATTTGTAGATATAAATGTAAACTCTGTTTCTCAAAATATTTTTGTTTGGATGGTGAAGTTTCCAGATTATTGTTGTGCTGATTGACAAGGTTTAACTGTAGACTAAATACACACAAACCCTAATACATGTATAGCCTGGCATTAAGCCAAGGTATTGAACTTCAGTTATTAATAATTTTATAACAAAGACTTTACCTGGAACTTCATCCACTAATAATTTCAGAAAAATCACCTTACTTGGAACTCCATCTATTAATAGTTTTGTAACAGTGACCTTACTTGGAACCTGGTGTACAGCTATTTTTATATCAATGACCTACTTGGAACCTGGCCTTCAGCTATTTTATAACAATGACATACCTGGAACCTGGCCTTCAGCTATTTTATAACAATGACCTTACTTGGAACCTGGCGTACAGCTATTTTATAACAATGACCTACCTGTAACCTGGCGTACAGCTATTTTATAACAATGACCTACCTGGAACCTGGCATACAGCTATTTTATAACAATGACCTACCTGGAACCTGTCGTACAGCTTCGTGCAGTAAGGAGGCTGCTGTATGGCTGGGTACAATTGGTTCCTGAAGGTTCACTCTCTGTCCTGTCTCTACGTACTGTGCTATAAGCACTGCCATACAAATCAGGCTGGTGGTCAGTTTAATCAGGTCTCTCTGTAATTATAAATATACATCTATAACCCAAATCAAATTCACAAATCTATCTCCAGAGAAGCATATCAAGTATTCAATAGCCAACCCAGGGGTTATTTTTAAAAATATTTTTCAGGGATACACAATAAAACAAGAGATGTTTGTGAAACACTTATACCCCCCTCCACCCCAAATAATTGGAATTTTTCTAAGTCCAAGGGGCATAACTCTGTCAAAAATTGCTTGATCAGCAATGTGTAATTTCAAAAATAATGACTGCCCCACTTTTAAATTGTTTGAAAATTATTTGATATGTTTACTTGCTTATTTATCACAAAACAGTAAATTTTTTGGCTGTATGGTTGACAAATATGAAAGCACGAGTGTCAAGCCTTACTAATAAATAGTCTAATCAAGATGGTACCCTAACCTTTGTTAAGTCATCCATTTCTTCAGTGATACAGAGTCCAAACAGTACAACAAAGTCCTTACACATGGTGTTGAAAGATATCAGTGTGTTGCCTGGCCACAAAATCTGTGCATACATACACCCCCTTAGTTTTCGGATATTTAACTCCCCCTTCTCAATTCTGAAAAAAAAATACACACATAATCATTGCATGTAATTCAGATTTATGTAGAGATTTTTAATCAAATAGATAAAATTTAAGAGAATACATGTACATGTAGCTGTGTCAAGTTAACTCATAATTATTGGAATATTTTGGAAGAGTAAGAGTAATTTCCTAACTATTTGTAAGATTTGACTTTTATGCTAAAGATTTTGTTCTTTGAGTGCATAAAATCTGCTGGAGATTGACTTCCATGGCACCAACAATAAACCTCAGCAGAAAATATACACACCTGTCCAAATAATGCTGGAGATTGACTTCCATGGCAGCTACAATGAATCTCAGCAGCAGAACATGGCCTTTGGGAAAAGTCGCATTGTCTGTCTCACTCCACCTCCGGAGAAAAGATCTGTGAACAGAGGATCTTTTTTAAAACTAACTGATTCATTCCTTAAAGCTGACACATGTCACTTGCAATATACAGTCAAACCTCGTTATTTCAAACTCGCTGAGACCGAGAAAAAAACTAAGGGTTCGAGATATTGAGAGTAAAATACTTCAAGAAAAAGTGCTTGGGACTTCTAAATCACTTCCATATATCCATGATATTCGAGATACACGTTTGAGATAAGTTCAGCTGTAACTTTGCAGTAAAATGTTAAATACAAATGTAAAAGAAAATACTGAACAATAACAGAATGGGGACAATTAACCAAAAAGACTGATGTCAGGTGACATTACCTGAATACTGTGCCCTGGGTCTGTGTTGTATCCTGAGTATCTGTGTAAGCTGCCCGGTAAAGCTCAATGGTCATATGATTGGTGGGTGGGTGTAGAGAAAGGATTTTCATCAGCACATTGTAACAGCGATACTGGATCAACTCAGTCTGGGAGCTCTAATAAAAAGAGACATTATCAACTTTAGTAACTTTAAAGTGGCCTTGGTTAAAAAAATGACATATCCCCTGATCTTAAGTGGTCTTTGATTGAAGTAAAACATACAATCTAATTAAAAGTAGATGTTCAGAATCCACTACCTCTTCTCAAACTTCTAACAACATCCCATTCGGGGTCACATCAGATTTATTTAGAGATAAAACCTCCGAAATCTTGGCTTATAGTTCAGATGCGTTTCTTTTTTCACTGCCAAACCTAAACGCCAGAGGAGTTTTGTAGTAACAAAATATACATGGAATAGGCGAATGTGACATACGGGGTATCCTGTATACAGTATAGTTTGTGCATTTTCGTTTGTGTTATTCAGGTAAGAATGCAAGATTGGAGGACTATACATTCAATTTATACCAAAATTACTTTAATTCAACATAAGACAGACTACTGAGCATCAATAATGTTAAGATGTAGCTGTGGAACTAATTTTAGAATCATATAATTTTAGAATCTGATTGGCCAAAATTTTCATGTTTATTCATAATTGAAAGGTCGCTCTGACATGACCCTGAATGGGATGTTGTTAGATGTTTGAGAAGCGGTAGCGGATTCGGAACATCTAATTTTAATTAGATTGTAAAACATACAATGTTTTCTATTATGTTTATAGACTTGAGATGAATTTTAAAACTTTTTTCTGCCAGTGAACATGAACTTTCCACATCGACCTTGGGTCAAGGTAACAACATACTTTTAACTCACAAATAATTTTTTAATGTTTCAACTTCCAACAAAGTTTTTCAATGCTTTATCTGACAGTGACCTTGAATTTGCCAAAATGACCTTCAAGACATAAGTAACATTTGTGTGAAGTATCAACCTCCAATGCTTGTCCATTAGAAAGTTATAGACAGGGCAGGAACTTAACACTTTTGCTGCCAATGACCTTGAACTGCCAAAATGACCTTGGGTTAGATTATGACACACCCTTAAGCAATAAGCAATCTTAATGTTAAGTATCAACTTCCAATTAGCCTCCATTTGAGAGTTATATAGACATAACATGAATAAAACACTCTTTTAAAGTGACCTTGATCTTGCAAGAATGAACTTGGGGCATGATCAATACACACCCTCAGATCATATTCAATATTTGTGGTAAATAAAAGCATTTCATGTTCTCTTTTAAAAGATATGGTCTAGGAAGAAATTTAACAATTTTTTACGGGTGACCTTGAACTTGACCAAATGACTTTGATTAAAGGACAAGACACACCTGTAGGTCATAAGCAATCTTTGCATGAAGTATGAACTTTCAATGATTCTCCATAAAGCTGTAGGCTGGACAAGAATTTTATACTTTTTGCTGCCAGTGACCTTGAACTTGTGGAATGACCTTGGGTCAATAGATGACTTTCACATTTACAAGAGTTATTTTCCTTTACGAAGTCAATATGGGGTCAACCGGCATAACCAGAGCTGTTTACCATTCTGCAGTTTTTTAAATATGGCTTCTGGCCATAATTTGTGCTTTACATCACTAATTTAATGTTGCCAATACATTGTCTAAATTTTCTACTTCTGTTTTTGATCTTGTCCCTGGTATCAGCCCTCAGGTGGTATTACCCAACGCCCTCCAGACTTGGGCCTATACCAACCACTGATGATGACACCAGGGCTGAGATCAATGTAATAGTAATCAGCTCTGCGTAATCCACTGTTTTCCCTCTATAACATTATGAACTTTATGGGGCAATGTCTTACAAATAAATCTGTATGTGTATGTTCATTATGTTTTCTTTGATGCCCCATACTATGGCAATACAGGAATGGTACAAAATTGCCGAAAGTGTTTGAAGGTTTAATATAGTTTACAGGTAAGCTACAAAGGATATATTCATTATTGAGAAAAATGATTGTTACTCCAAAAAAGAGAGATAACTCTTAAAAACGTGAAAGTCGTTATTTATTATTCCTCAAAATGACTGAAGGCACGCATTTCCACTGCTCTTGCTGGAAATTCTCAAAATAAAGGTAAAGGAGAGTTGCAGATGCAAATATGCACTGCATCACAACTCATCAAGCTTATGCCTATCATAAGCATGAATGACAGTTCTTGGACCGGAAGTCCAAAGGTTACTACATTGAGCCAGGTTTGAGAAAATTCGACCTTAGCATTTGAAAAACAGACACTTAATATTTCTTTCACCCAGGTCAAGAGATTGATGAAACTAATGCATGGTAGAAATCCAGCTGCAATTGTTGTACATGGCGAACTTGCAAGCTGTAATTGTATGGTCAGGGGATTGGGTGGGGGTGTTTTTAATCATGTTTTACTTTCTTAGGTTTAAAGATAACATTCAACGTTTAAATCAAATCTCTGATGTTTTTAAATCTATGTTTTACCATATTGTTTACATTTTTGAAAATCCTTGGATAAAAAATTCAGATATTTGTAGTTTACTGCTTGTGGAGTTTCTTTTGCATGTCAGTATATACATGTATATCTACCAGTAGTCTAGACTCACATTTCCAAATAACCAAACCAAACAAAAATTTATTGAAAACTTATTCACAATATGTTGAATTCACAGATTTAGAAACATGGGGAATATTGAGAATATTACACCACTTATTTCCCCCCATACAGTACATGACCATGCTAATAGCACCAATCACAACTTCCTACATAAAACTCCCCCTTTTCTAGTCTAGTAAGAAGCTTAATCTGCTTACATTTGGTCCTCTGTCTTTTAGTAGTCCTCTTACAAGAGTTTTGATGATATTGACTGTAGGGAACTGTCGTTCTGATATACTAGACCTCACCAAGTCCAATCCAGACAGGAAGAAATCCAGATCATTACTTTCCTCCTCAAAACAAGCCATAATCATCCCAGCCAGGCTCTCAGAAAAGGGGGAGGCTACTTCTACCTTCTGTAAACACAAAATTATAGGCTAATCATAAGTTATCTCCCTCTTCCTGAACTCTCTAATGTTTGGGTCAAGTTTCTCAGTGCTGACCATTCCTCTTACCTGTTTGTCTTCCATTGACAATCCTGTAAACACAGAAGAATGCCACAAATCCCCTTGATGTGCTACCTGTAGAATGAAAGTAACGATTGTTACAAATAAGGTGTCAATAAACCTTAACAGTCACCCGAGTATCACATGTTTCTCAGCATATGTGCCAATTTTTGAAAATCCCCATGGGGAATTTTGTGCGTAGCGACAATTTTCAAAGCTTTAAATTTGTGGTAAATTGTCATGAAAATAAAAGTTTATCCTATTTTTGTTTTATTTATAAGATCAATACCACTTATTAATACCACCTTCAATATAACTGTGCTTTATACCCTATTAAAATATGTAAGTTAAAATTTTTTTGCATTTGCCTTAAAAAAAATATCTGTATCGCTCTGATTTTACTGCTTGATTATACTTTCATTTTTGTTTTTAGTATTATAATATTTACTTAACCCCTAAATCTATTTGCTTTGTCGTGCATACCTCTTCAAATTGAATCATTTAATCCCCTAACTGCTCCAGGCTAAAACTACTTGTACCTGGTCAGCTGTGTGCATTCAAATGAAAAGTGATTTCCTGTGCCTAATTAAATAAACAAGGACTAATCTGTATGTATTCAATAGACAAGCCTAATATTCTCATCCCTATTGACAAATATGGCAGTTGGGAAAATTGGAAATTTTAGGATGAAATTTTTCAAATCAGGATATTAGGGCAATTTTGCTTTTCCGATCAGGAAAGTGAGGTCAAACTTCATTGAAGAGTAAAATGGGGAAAGTTGGCTTGTATGTCTCAGGCTCTGACCAACTCAACCCATTTAGGACTGGCACTCTGGATCCAAGTGACATGGTAGAGGACTCCGTTAACAATCAAACTGCATGAAGTTCATCTTAAGATAATCAGAATAAGAAAATTTTAAAGATAAACTCCAATACAAACAAATGCATGCTATATATGCAGAATTAAGGTAAATGTCTCTACCTTGACCCTCTTGAGTTGTTGTACAGCATGATCCAAGTCATCCGTCATCTTCCTCTTCCTGTCCAGATCTAACGGTAAAAGAAATGACAAGACTGTAGCTCTACTGATTTGTACTTATAATTAAGGTTGAGACAAGGAGCAGATGAATATTATTCAATTCTCAGTAATCATTTCAACAAAGTTCATCTACATCAAAAATTTTCAGAGTAACAAAATATTTATCTTCGTGTAGTACAGCGGTATGACAAGGTTTATTGAAATAGGGTTAAAACTGTAGGAGAAATAGTATTGTTACAGTCATTTTTATTCCTAGTAACCATACATTCACTGAAATCAAAATTCTATAAACAGAATTACGTATCTTTGTGTAGTCTAATTGTAACAAGTTTTTAACGAAATTGACTAAAATTGCAGGAGGAGTAGCATTTTAACATAAAATTCTTTGTTTAAAGACAGACAAGACACCTGGTGTCTGTTCTCAGGCTGATAATAGTATATCACCTGGAAGTTCCTTCAAGTACAAGCCATGGTAAAATTTGACAATATAACTTTATGACCCTGTGTTCCTTTGTTTATCAACCATCATACTTGGACTGACCTTTACTTTTCCTCTGTGATTGATCTGGTGCCGAAGAGGTACAGGGAGCATCCACTCTCATGGAGAAATCTGCCGGTAGAAAGGGAGAGTTAAGGACTCTATTGTTCTGTGGATCCTTATTAGACAGCTTCTGGGGAGTGTTACTGAGCGACCCTTGCGGTGTGTTACTTTCCGACCCCCGTGACACGGTATCAAGGGACCCCAGTAACTGAGAGGATGGTGTAGACTGCAGAGAGGTGGACTGGCTGAGTTGAATGTCCATCAAACTGTTGTCCATGTCTACATTACAAAGTTCTCTTTTGCATGGACTGCTGACTGCTTTGACGAGGTAATCTAGAGGGTCGGGAGGGGGATCCTGCAGTACGTATCATACATCATTTGTACAATATGAGACAAAATTATGAGATTACAAATACAATATATAAGCAATGTAATTCATATCTTTGAAATGCCACTAAGGGCCCTGTATATAATATGTAATCACACCTGACCTACCTGTAATATGTAATCATCAATGACCTACCTGTAATATGTAATCGCCAATAAACTCTGGACGCAGACAAAGGATGCCATATTCAATCAAATGAAGAGCATCTTGGAAGTTGCGCTCTCCAACAAAAACATAAGTTAGAATGTTAGCTACCCGGCTTCTATTCCCCACAGGCAGGGACAACTTGTAGACCTCGGCACCACCACACGATAGCAGTCTGAAAGAGTCAACAGCAAAAGTTACATCAAAATTGCTTTCTCAGTTTTAACAAATTAAAAGCATTTAAGTAACAAAAACTATTTTATTATCTTGTAGAATATGCACTTTCTAACCTGGCATAGATAGAGCTTTTCCTGGAGCCTCGGACAATCACTGCTGCTTTCCATCCCGAAAATGGAAAGGACCTGAAAGCCTCCACATTAAATCTCCAACGACGAGCTGCATTAGCCATTTCCAATGAAACACCACTGGAGAAATTGACCCACTCAAAGTCTTCCTCCCTTAGCCACTCGCCTTTCTCTGCGGAGTCTGTGATGTACCTAGGGTGGAGTACCCAGATCCCCATAGCACAGGCACACAAAAACTTCTCACTGCGAGAAAGTCGACCACATACTAAATGTGTACATGCCGGCTTAAAATTCTACAACAGAAAGATCATATGATAATTGTATGTATGTTCATAATTCTAAAACAATACAATGATCAGGATCTTAAGAGATATGCAACTGGTTTTGTGTTATATTTATGCTGGTAAAAGTTAAAACCATTCATATTTAATGAATTGAACTTCAGCAGGGGCTAACAAAAAGATTTTTTAGGCACTTGTCCAAGGGCAAGTGCATGGTCAAAATTCACTTGCCCTACCTGAATATTTGCTTGTCCCACCATAAACTATTATATTTATATATATTTAAAAGAAAATGGAATACAAATACTGAGTAGATCATGCAAACCCCTGCACAAAGCTTTAGATCTATGACTTGCGTATGGGTTTTATTTTTTTCAAGTCACTTGCCCAAGGGCAAGTGGTTACTTTGGGCAAGTGGTTGATAAAATTCCACTTGCCCACCCTTAAATTCACTAGCCCCAGGCATCGGGCAATGGGATTTGTCAGCCCCTGTTCAGTGTAAATTTTTACTACTCCAAAATGCTTCAAGTTCTTGCATTTGTCTTAGCAATTTTTATCTGACATTTAAAACAGAAAAATTTGAACGAGGTCCAGATTTTAAAGAGTAAATCTTTTATGATGAAGAATAGGGGCCTAATTTGGGAATACTGTTGGAACTTTTATTGAACTTTTAAAAAATAATGAGAAACCTCTGACTCCAGAAACACTCCACCAAGACGAAAAATCTTCTCAGCTAACTCCCTCTTTTCAGATTCCTCAAGCCCAGATAGAAGAAACTGACGACGGCTGACCAAACTTTTCTGCAACCGAGTCTGTGGACTTGTGTCAGCCATATCTTTTCTGTTTGTCTCAAATAAGCCGTGTTTAGTGATCAAATGGGGATATTGTTATCAACAAAACTTATGGCCCACTATGCATGATTTATCTCCAAAAGATGTCATTTTTGAGCATAGGCTTACTTTAGGGTTAATACAATCCTAAACACATTGTTTATGCTAGTGAAATACTCAAACATTTACCAATCTTTCTGTAGACGGCACAGATGTCCAAAAGAATGGTGTTCATCGCCATCAGCGAGTAAATTTCAAAAGGTTCCATGAGAAAACAACGATTTCATGTGGAAAAAAAAATGTCACCTCAAAATAGCCTGGAAGTCACAACTGTTAAGTTATGAGACAATCAAGTCTTGTGCATGTTGAGTATGGTACAAATGTGAAAGAGTCACAAGCAAATATAACTTTTTCTTCTGAATCAGACTATCAGTGCCAGTGGTAATGAATGTTTCTTTTCCGCGCGCCTGTGTTGCAAGCTTGAATCTCGAACCCGATGTCAGATCTGCCGTGTCCAAACCAGGAATGTAGAGACATAAATAATTTTTTTATGTCTCTATTCTTAGCAATCATTCAAAAACGATATATTTTTTTAGAATCTTGAAAGGAATAGTTAACAAACTCATAGTAGTTTTGCCAGATTTTATTAATTGGTCATAATAAGTTCTGTTCAGTTGTAAAATGGGGTTCTGTTGGTGTCTTCCCACTTAGCCAAAATTCTGAAATTGTTAAAGGTGACCGGTTTTGGCTAGGTTGGAATGGTGTACAGGTAACGGGTGGGAGAGAACAAAAGAAATTGATTACAGGTGACTCTGCACAGAAAAGGTTTTAAACAAAATTTTAACATCTGATTATGCGATGAAGGGTAAAATGAAATACATGTAAATATTTTAAATTGATTAGTGTCATTTTTAAAATTCTATATATATATTTTTTAAATATTAAGATTAGTATTGATTTAATTATTTTTTTTATTTGATAAATGGTAAATGATAAGTATAAATACTTATTTGTCTTCCTTTTAAATAAAAAAATCTATTTCATTCAGTTTCATACACTTAATGATTTGATAAATAAAATAAATATTTAACTTATTAAAATATTTTAGTGCCAGTTCTGTTAAAATATACATCACAGATATTTAAAAATACGTGTAATGTGAAAACTAATAATAATGCTTTTGAAATCTTGAATCTCTGTTCCATAATCATTGGAAATGAAAATAATACAAATATATAATCAAAACAAAATATCACATTAAATGCAAAGGGAATGGAATAAAATGGGTCGGTGGCGCGATAACGATGAAGCGATGTTGCGATGACGATGAATTGATGGTGCGAAGACGATGAAGCGATAGCGCGATGACAATGATGCGATGGCGCGACAATGCGATGCCGATGATGTGATAGCAAATGGAGTGTTAGTGAACATCGCTTCATCGTCATCGCACCATCCTGCCATCGCTATCGCACCATCGCGTCATCGCACTATCGCTTCATCGTGCCATCGCACCATCGTCATCGCATTGTCGCGCCATTGCATCATCATCGTGCTATCGCAACATCGCTTCATCATCATCGCACCGTCGCTTCATCGATGGTGCGATGATGCAATAGTGAACTACATGGCCCTATCTAGATTCCATAATTTTCGCCAGGAATAACAGGATTACAAAATATAGTTTCTGCATACATAGAACTGATAGGCACTTTTTTCATAATTTTGTAAGATAAGAATATGAAATATTATGAAATGGAAGACATCAATAGTTTATTGACACCATAGTTGAATAATACCCATTTTTTATTTAAAACTTGAATAGTATATAAAAGCAAATTGATCAGTATTTTGACATATAGAGGAAAAATACCTAATTCGATTTCAAAAGTCTGTCTGACTCTTCTTAACATGTTTTATTAGATAAAACAGCAAATTTTAAACTCTAAAGCATTTTTTTGCAAGTAAAACAATTATTACAGATTTCTTGAAAAAATACAAAAAAATTCTCATAAAATAATTCAGAGCTCAAACCCCTCTTACATTTTATGCAGTAGGCAATTCGTTTTGGAATATGTTTGGTACAGGCCCGTAGAACGCGGGGGGGGGGGGGGGGTCCGGCTCTACACTTTTTCTAAGTATAGTATATTCTGCTATAGTAAATTTTCATTTAGATGCTGGTTGCCCACCCCACCCCACCCCATCCCCACTTTTTATTGCTGTAAGGTCGAGCAGCGGCAAATTCCAGGATTTGGACACTGAATTACTTCCGTTATATATATTTTTTTTTTTTGCTTGTGCGATTTTTTGGGAGGTTACCCCCCCCCCTCCTATTCTCTATTAAGAAGTTGATGGCTCGTTTTAATACTCCCCCTTGAGGGGGAGTATTAAAACGAGCCATCAACTTCTCAATAGAGAATACCCCCCCCCCCACTTTTGAAACCGTTGCTATACGGGCCTGTGGTAGATATGCAATAAGTTTTCGGAATTTTCATTTTCATCCTGCATGGGGACCAACTGGGGTCGAAAAACAACGTTTTTCTACAAAAGACTAGGTTAGGAGAACTCACTTGACATTTTATGCAGTAGCCAAAATATCTTTCATCAGATGACTGATTGTGTCCTGTAGATGAACAATTAGGTTTTGAAATTTTCTTTTTCACAGTGGAGGCCAATTGGGGACCGAAAATCTACCACCCCTTTTTTATAGAAGCTTTCTTAAACTCCATAATACTAGTAATCATCCACACAATGCCAGGGGTCCTGAGTCAACACGTTGCCGTTGGACCCCTGATAAATTTCATTCGATATCTTGCAGGCTGACTGCAGCGACGTCTTTCGGGAAAATTACAAATTTTGGTTGTTTTTCTTATCTCTCAACCAATCACATTAAGCCTTTCGGTGATAAACAAATGCGTAACACGTGCATTTTAGGTGTCAACTGATTTCTTTCTGTTTATATTATCTGATTGGTTTTTTCAATGAGAGAAGCAAGCCCACAGATATCGAATGAAAGAACAAGGTACGGTTTCAATACAAATCTTGCCTTGTGTTTTTCTTAAAAATGAAAATGGTGTAAAAAATTAAAACTCATGCTTCCTGAATCATTGAAATTCCGTGCAGAAAGATCATTCAAATCATTTTTCTCACATGACCTTCTAAATTCTAATTGTGACGTCATAAACTTGTACATTTTCCCGTATTTTCTTAAAAAGTTGCAGAAGACACCAATGGACAAGGTTCATTTGATATAATATTTGGCCCTAAGAATTTTTAAAAATTAAAGTTTACGCTGAATTAAAACTTTACATTGAAAATAAGGGTTGTATATGTGCTTGTTAAAAAAATAAACCCAAACTTTGAGAACGTGTCCCCTGTATACTGTTTATTCGAGGTCAAATCATGCACGGAATTCGTATTTCCGGAAAAATCGTTAAAAATCAGGGACTTAAAAGCATTTTTCGATAGGTCCGCATTATACCACCATTTTGAAATTTTCTCAAATGAAACATCGATTTGAAAGCATTTTATATGCAAAGAATTACGATGGTGATATTGTGCGGACCATGTTTATTTTTAAAAAATGTGTTCATTAACAGCATGCAATACACGTGCATTCGACGGTGTTTTGCTAGATCTAAAAATATACCTCGCCACGTATCGCTAAAAATCTTTTAATATAAAGGATGAAATCATTATATCAATGTTCTGAAGATCTGGTCTGTATTAATTCTTGACACGCTGTTCGAATTCAGATACGTTGGGCCTACTATAGTCTGTCCCACGGTACCAAGGACCTCACTTTTCGCCTCATATCTCAAAATGTATAAATACCTTGGCCTTCAAACTAGGTTCGATCGATAGATCATTTTTTTTCCCAAACTTCCTGCATTTATCCGAACCCTCGAGTTCAACCGGTGTATTGACACGGCGGCAAATTCAAAGTCTACGGGGATTTAACATTGCCAAAATGGCCGCAACTTCGGAAGGGGATCCATCATTATTCGTGATTTTCCGTACATCGCCGTCAGTGACGTAATGACGTTCGGGAATTCTCTGTGCTTACCGATGTACGGAACGCAATACAGCCCGAGACTTTCCAAGTGCCCAATACACACAGATTTATCAGCGAAGAAATAGCAAAACAGCGTCTTCGACGTACCCGGGAACAAGTGCTTAACACTACTAAGAAAAGAGGTAAGATTTAACTCATATCTACTTCAGAAGTCATAACTGCACTGACAATGTAATGGAAAGAACGATCGAGGCTATAGTACAACAAAATTCAGCCAAGTGACATCATTGCTTTACCAAAACATAGCATGATAGATCTATCTGTAAGCGAGTATTAGTATGTTCTAATAATTTAGATTTGTAATTAATTACAACTTTACCTTTGCCTCGCAAATAAATCCAACACACTAGGCAGTATACTATAGTTTGTTGTAAACACGGTTAAACAGTTTGTGAAACATCACTTCTATCATGAATTCACAACGCTTCCTGGCTTTGTTACATTTATAACTCTTAAGCACATACAAATCCACGTTTAGACATTTTGAATCACTGTGCAAAACATAAAAACAAGATATACATGTTGTCTGCATCAAACTACGTCATCAATGGATTTTGACCTTGCCCTTTGAAAACTTCCTGTATCGGCATTAGGTAAATGCAGGCCCTGGGATTTCAAACAATATTATGTATTTTTAATAGTTTTACCATATGTGTAGCAGTTCTGATGCCAAAAATAAAATACAGAGGTACATGTAGTAATCACACAAACCCCTAAACATGAATGGAATACATTTTTTTTTAAATTATTATGTTTATTTGTATACTTTATTTTCCTTTTAATATAAAAACTTTTGTGACAGAAATTTCAATGATTTACAAATTAATAAAACTTTTGAGACCAGGAGTTGCATTTTAAATTTCAATGTGAAAAAATTCTACATTTGCAAGAAATGCAAGTCAAAGCCCTTTCATTATTTCTTTTTTTTAAATTATAATAGCAATGAAAAGTAAAATAAAAACAATAGATAAAACTTAACTAGATAAAACTAAATTAAGCATTTTTATTTTGAAACAAGAATTTGATTATTAGGAAAGAGAACATGAAGATATATCATACAGAGAAGAGCAAGCAAACATGCACATTAATTAAATTAATTCAACCTTAAGTAGGTGCAGAAACGTGCATGTAGTTTTCATTTTCTTTCTTTCTTTTTTTTTTAATTTGTCTACAGTCATCTGTGAAATCATTTTTAATTCATGGGGTCAGGCCCATGGGAAGCAATTTAAGTGTGTGTGCGGTGGGAACCAAACATTTTCAATTCAAACTATGTTGTCAAACCTCGTTATCCTACAATGGGACAATGGGACTGATAAAAACTTCTGAGATATCTGAGTATTCAAGATATCAAGGGTAAAATACTTCAAGAATTTTAAAATGGTTGGGACTTCCAAATCACTTTGACATATCAATGGATATCAAAATTTACAACTTCTGCTTTGCAAATTAAATTCATACTGTGAAAATTGTTATAAAACTTGAATTACAAGTTGTAAAAATATCAAATCTCAAATTACTTAAATCTTAAATTAGTGAAATTACAGGGTAAAACCACTCAACATACTATGTTATTTGTAATTTTGTTTGAACTGTTTTCAGCATTTGAAGTAAAATTGAAAAATATTCCAAGAGGTAAATGAATTGTCTACCCTATATTTATTCAGATTATCTTTTAGATATTCAGACTGAAGAAGAAATGAAAGTAAAATGCTCAGTGCTGCTGGTGTCCATGGTTTGAATGTCAATTGGTACAAAAGAAAAGTCATGACTCATATTGGACATAATAAACATGAAGCTGAGGAGAGAAACATCTATGAATGGATTAGAAAGTGAGTATTTTTCTCTCCATTATATCACTAACACTTCAATTTGTGTCTAGCTCATCAAGTGATCACTGGGCAAACTCCCTGGTAATCTTTGGTTTAGACTATTCTTTGGACCTGAAAAAGATATACAATAATACACATATTAACTGGTGCATGAAAAAAAGAAAAGAAAAAAAAACTAAACTTTTAAGTCTCTGTAAAGTGAAATTAAGGAATAATGAAAATTCAAATTAATGATTTCATTTGTACATGTATCATGAATGCTTTCTGTACATATGAAAAATACATGATGATTTTTTTAATTTCAGATACCAGGCCAAGTATACACTTCAGAAAGAAAAAAGACATTTTTTTAAATATTCATATAAATGTTTAAATGTATATACTTACTGCCCAGACCATCCAGAAGAATGTCCTGAAACTTGTTCGAGTATGTTTCATCTAGATGAACTCCAAACACTTTATTCTAAAAAATTTGAGTGGATTGTCCATTACATGCATGTGTGCCTTCAATTCTTGATGTCTGCTCATCATAACAATGAATTCCAATAAATTAATACCTTCAAATTATTTTTTTTTGTAATTAATAAAAACATAAAAAGGTAAATGCTGCTTCTTTATTACAATACTTTAATCAATAATTAGTCCTTCAAAAGCAGGTGTTGAATAACATGAATAAACTGAAAAAGGGACACGAACCAGATCAGTGATGTGCCCATTTACAATTTAAATGATCTCTTCTTTTTGACCTTTATTATGTTAGTGTTTTGACCTTGACCTTTTTAGCTCACCTGAGCCAAAGGCTCAAGTGAGCTTTTCTGATTGAAATTTGTCCGTTGTCTGTCGTTGTAGTCATTGTCATCGTAAACTTTTCACATTTTCATCTTCTTCTCAAGAACCACTGGGCCAATTTCAACCAAACTTGCCACAAAGTATCCTTGGGTAAAGGGAATTCAAGTTTGTTCAAATGAAGGGCCACGCCTTCTTCCAAGGGGAGATAATTATGAATTCATGAAAAATTAATGGCATAATTTAAAAATCTTCTTCTCAAAAACCACTGTGCTTGAAAATATGAAACTTATATGGAAGCATCCTCCGGTAGTGACCCCCGGGGGTAGGGTGGGGCCACAATGGGGGATCAAAGTTTTACATAGGAATACATAGGAAAAATCTTTAAAAATCTTCTTCTCAAGAACAGCTAAGCCATGATTGGTCATATTTATATGGAAGCATCCTCAGGTAGTGTAGATTCAAGTTTGTTCAAATCATGACCCCCAGGGGTCGGGTGGAGCACAATGGGTGATCAAAGTTTTACATAGGAATATACAGGGAACATCTTTAAAAATCTTCTTCTCAAGAACAGCAAAGCCATGATTAGTCATATTTAAATGGAAGCATCATCAGGTAATGTAGATTCAAATTTGTACAAATCATGATCCCCCCCCCCCCCCCAAACCAGTTTTATATTTAAACTTTTCAAGACTGAACTGATTTCTGCTTTTTCCTAGCCAGAGTGCTCAGGTGAGCGATGTGGCCCCTGGGCCTCTTGTATTTATTGTGCTAAAATACTGTTCATAGTTACTTACATGAGGCCAACTTTAAAATAATGTTTGCTTGCCCTCTCCCGACTCAGGTTGAGAAAATTGAGTCTGTAGGTAGGTGAGAAATTTTTTTTCAAAGAAAATTTCAAAATCAATGCTGAATTTTCAAAATCTATTTTCCGGAATTCATAAAAAAAATAATTGCTTCCTGGAGGTTAAAAAAAAGTTTCGAGTCGGGCCATTTTTAGCCAGTCGGTTGGGAGAGGGTAACCAAACAATTTGTTAAAGATGGCCTGATGTATTAATTTTGCACTTGTATGAATTTTTGCTTTATTTTCTTTTTGCACATAAATTTAGGAGTTTGAACAAAATGGGTCTCCTATGAGGGATGTACATGTAAATAATAAAACTAATAACTTTAAAGAAACATCTACATGTAAAAGAAATTATGAGAGATGATTTTTTTCTTGTTTAAGTAAACAGAAGTCTCAAGGGTTGTATGTCGGGTAAACTTACAGCATATTTTGACAATAAAAAAATGCTTGAAATAAAAAAAGTCATTTTTTGAAAAGTTTTAAAAAAGTTCTAGAAAAATTATTATACAGTAAATTGAATATAAACACAGAATTGAAAGTGAATTATATATAAAATTGTAAACACAGAAAGACAACAACAAAAATCACACATGAGAGAATTTGTATAATGTGAAACATGAATTGTGTTAAAGATTCATTCACTGATTGATTGTCCTTTATTTAAAAGTTACAGGATATTTTGAGGATATTGGACATAAGGCCAAACAAAAAAATATGTGTGGTTCCGGTTACACCTCCCAAAAAATTAGGGTAGGTAGGTAGGGATTTTTTTTTTTTTTTTTTTTTTTTTTTAACAAAATGATTTTCTTAATTTTTCTAAATAATACCTATCACTGCTTTGCAAATGACATTTAGATGTGATGTGATAATATACTAGTCAATATTGGTAGGGGGACAACTACATGCTAGCTTTCTTTGGATTTAACACTATTAAATACTTGCACTATGTTGTGCAAGGAGGCCAGCATTGCTGAAACTAAAACTGAAACAGGAGCCATTGATGGAAATTGGGGAAATTCCGGGAAAAAAATATGAAAATTGCCAAAAAAAGTTTAGGGTCGGGGGTATAAAATAGGGAAGGTCGGGTAACCGGAACCACACATATTTTTTTATTTGGCCTAAATGATAATAACAAAGTTTATCAAATAGTTTATCAAAAGTTTATCAAATAGTGGGAAAAAAATCTGTGGATTATGCCAAAAAAGATAAATAAATGCATTGTTCATTTACTTTTACTCAACATTTTTAAAATGAGAAATATGGCCTACTGCATTCAGTTCATTTAATGTAAAACCTTAAGCACCCCCTCCCCCCCCAAAAAAAAAATAAAAAAATAAAAAATGTAGAACAGTAGGTGTAAAACATATAATGTGAATCTCCGATATATGTAATTAATGTTTCAAGTTTATATTTTAGCATGTCTTAAATGCAATATAATACAAATAATCTATATAATAAATTATATGGTATTTACCATATGCACTTGTGCTGGGTGAAATATTACATCTTTTAATTTTCATGCAGTTTTATCAGTGCAAGTATTTTAGTGGATAATTATGTTGATTTTCTTCCATTATATTTTCTTGGGCAATATTTATACACCTAGCAATATCTGATAGCTCTGTATGTTAAAAAACAGAAGACCCTTAGAACTCAGTCCTGTAAAATGAACTATGAAGATAACAAACAGTATTAAATAGTATTATTTAGTAGAACTAAATAGTTCAGAAAAAATCTGGAGTGTCCAAAATATTTGTTATATATAGTCAAGGTGCTGACACTTCACATAAATGTAAAATTTTGCTTTTTATAGATCATGTAGGTAGTGACTGCCAAATGCATGAAGTGAAAGTAGATCGACCTACATCATATACATGTATGTACATAATCATGCAATAAAATGAATAAATAAAGATCTACCAGCTTTTAATAAAAAAGAGAGTCATTGTTATAATAATTAAAAGGTGTATTTGTATGCTTTCTTTTTTTCCTAATAGTTTTATTAAATAAGTTGATAAAATGTCAGTTTTCGGTTTTCTCTCTCTCTCTCTCTCTCTTACCCATCATAGCCGACTTGTGAGGAATTGGACGAATGGAATATGTTGTGGGGAAAGTGCTTTCCTATTATTTTTTTATTTAAATAATGGTCAATTCTTGTAGAAAATACCTGTTTTGTTGTTGTCTCTCCTTTCTTATTTTAAAAATAACCTAACTGTCGTTTCATTATGAAATCGAAAATTATGGGGAATGTTTTTTATCACTTATTTTTATGGGGAACGTCAACAGAACTCCTCTGGATTTACTCTTAAATTAATATTACTCTTAATGTTTACGTGGATTTTTGCTCTACACCTTCAGCTGTACCAGTGAAAACTGTCGCTAGTGCTCAGAGTCGCTCTAAAAATAGAAATCCTAAGCGGTAGCCTTGCAATTCGTCACTCGTATAATTATACCCAATGATAGTAATAACCACGTAATATAGATGTCATTGGTGTTTGAAATGAAACATTTTGAAGCAAAAAAAGTTATAACACTCTTGAACAATTCTGTATTATTCAATATTCACTTTAAAAATCCTGAAAATAAGTGTATGGTCATTTCTTAATTGACATCGCGATCGCCATGTGGGCTTCGTTTATCTTCATCTCTTACGTGAGAAGTTGGACAATTTGACTAATTAAATTAAATATTTAGACAGTTTATAACCTCTTATTGAAAAAAGGCAACAACAGAATCTTACGAGGAATTATATTTTGAATCGTCGAAATCGGCATCCAACTTTTATCAGGCGATAGACAACCGCATATGACTGTATGAATCGGCAAGTATTATGATTTGTAAAGTCGATTTATTGTAAGTAAGACAGTGTTTTAAAAGATAAAATAAGAATAATTATCTTTTTTTATTAGCGATAAGTTAATTGTAAGCACGAATAAATTTAAATCTTGATCACACAAGTCTAATGATAATTCGAAACAAAGTTGTGACGCGAATTTCCTCTATTGTTTTTATAACACTAAAAAGCACTGACTTTTTTTTCATATAATTTAGGACTACTGGTGACTTTTCTAAATAGGTGCTTAATTGTTTATTAAATTAAAATTCTCTGCAATTACTTATGAATTTAAAGCAGTTTTTCATCATATTTTGTGGTTATAGAAGGATTCCCTTCGACTAACTTTCATTAATATATCCTAACTCAGTATCTACATGTATGATAACTGATGATGAATCATTAGATTACCACTTTGTACAAGTATAATAATAACTATCCATCAAAGTTATGTATGTAAGTTGATAATATGTGTTTCGACTGAATTAATTTTACATTTCTAAGTATAGTCATCATGTCTATAGATATCTGGCTTTGTTCAGTTATGATATAGGCATGGGAGACATTCATTAAACTAAATAAGTAGATACAATGTCAGTGAATTATTGTTAGGGTGGGGATGGGGAGTTTAATCTTCTTTACAGTCAATTATTAAACTTCAGTCTGGAGTTTCTGCGTGAACCTCAGGGTCCACAATGAATATATAAACTAAGGAAATATATAACCAGATAATATGTTGTAAAATCAGCTTGCACCTGCACTACAATGCTGGACAAGTCACCCCTAAGACAGCTCTCCTGTAGAACAATTCACATTGACAATCACCTTTGATTCAAAGAACTTGGCCACTGTATGGACAATTTTCCACCTTCTCTACAACAACTCGATCGCTTTGTAGCTATTTTATGCTACACTTAAAGCAAAATAGATTACATCATTTTATTGTGATTCTTGGATGACCTCCTCTTCATTCTGAAGTTATATGTCAAGACTACATACTATGAATAATGGATTTGATGAACATTTGATATCCAGACCAATATTGTTTATTTAAAACAGCTTAATTTAACAAAGCGACATTTTG